GTGTCAGGTTTTGAACTTTATGTTTATTCTGTTTAAGGTTCATTGAGCTTCTTCAATCCAAGGGTTTATAGTCTTAATAAAATTTGGAAAATTTTTGGCCATTGTTTTGTCAAATATACTTTCTGCCCCTGCTCTCCCCTCCTTTTCTCCTTCCGACACACACTCTGCACATAAGGTGTTGTGTGCCGGCAATTCGATTCTAGCTCATAGGGACCCTACAGCACAGAGTAGAACTGCCTCGTAGGGTTTCTAAGGCTATAATCTATATGGGAGCAGACTACCACATCTTTCTCCTGCTGAGCAGCTGGTGGGTTCGAACGGCCAAACTTTTGGCTAGCAGTTGAGCGCTTTAACCACTGTGCCACCAAGACTCCTGCATATAAGGTAGACCACTTAATATTGTCTCACAGGTTACTGATGCTCTGTCAATTTGTTTCAGCCTTTTTTTTTCTTTCTGTGCTTCATGTTGAGTGTCTTCAAATTCATTGATCTTTTCTTTTTGGGAAAGATAATATTTGGTCATAGCGTAGGATTTCTGTGCATGTCACCTTGCTGTTGTTTGCTGTCAACAAGTTGGTCCCAAACTCACGGCAGACCCCAAATCAGCAGGTCAGGCTTGAAGGCTGCTGGCTCATGCCGCAAGAACTAAGGGTCAGAGGATGCTGAGTCGGATGCAGGATTGAGAGCAAGCGAGCTCTGCCAGAACGTCCATGTATATTGGATGCGTGCCTCACACCTAATGAAACTCCCCTTACATCAGATCACAAAATGGAGGATAATTATATAATACTGAGAATCATGGCCCAGCCAGGTTGACACATTAACCATCCCACTATTCTCCTACACTTTGTTTTTCCCGTCCATCCCCTGGTAATTGGTAGGTAACTGGTCTTAGTTTCAAGTTTCTCTTTCCTATGGTTCTTTTTGCAAAGAAGATCAGATACTTGTGAATTTTATTTCCTCTTCTTTTCTACCCCAAAGATAATATACTATAGATACTCTTGCATTTTGCTTCATTCACTTAACAATATTTTCTGTAAATAATTCCATATAAATTCATAGAGAAAGTCTTTATTCTTTTATAGCTGCATAATTCTCCACTGGGTGAACGCTGCATACCCCTATGTATGAGTAGTTAAGTTGTTTGCAATATTTTGCAATTATAAACAATGAATGACCTTGTTCATACGTATTTTTGTTTTGTTGGTGTGGTAGACTCAGAGACAGTTCCTAGACGTGACCAGTGACTGTGGACCAGCTCTGCTTTTCCAATGACTGCAAACCAGCAAACTTCTCTGTATCCAGTGGGCTGCAACTACACGTGTTCCAATGAGATCTGAACCCCAACCTTGGGGAGGGGGCCAATTTCAAAGTTTGTCCATGTGTACTCTCCTTCAGTTCTAGGGTATCATATGCCAAAAAACCGAAAACCAAACCCATTTCCATCAAGTCGATTCTGACTCACAGCGACCCTATAGGACAGAGTAGAACTGGTGGATTCGTACTGCTGACCTTTTGGTTAGCAGCCATAGCTCTTAGCCACTACATCACCAGGGTTTCTGGGTACTAAAGTAACTATAAGATATACGAGAATGCTATATGATACCCATATATAGGTAACTTATAGTTAACTTTTTTGAAAAATCATATTTTATTAATTCTTCATATTAAAATTTTTGTTAAATCACTGTGTGCTTTGTCTCTTGATTGGACCCAGACCACTGTAATCACGGATCATGTTTGTGGCAGGGCAAAAGGACAATGCAATTAGCATCCAATAGCGTGTTGTATCATTGCATAGTGCACACTGCACACCACCATGTCTACAAATGAGTTCATTAAGTGCTAAATAAATATGTAACTGGGTTTTAAATGATTTATATAATGCTGAAATCCATGGTGGATTGTTGTATAAGTGCTTTAGTGATATTTAAGGAAAATGGTTGGGGTTTTTGGATGAGTTAGGAATGTGTTGCTGTCTTGAATATTTAAATTAATGGAATATAGACTCCATTCATCTAGAAATTCACTACTAACAGATTAAATTTGGATAATGAAGAATAGTTGTATTATCTTTTTTTTCTTATGGTTGTTGTTAGGTGCCGTTGAGTCAGTTCTGACTCATAGCGACCCTATATGTACAACCGAACGAAACAGTACCTGGTCCTGCGCCATCCTCACAATTGTTGCTGTGTTTGAGCCCATTGTTGCAGCCACTGTGTCAATCCATCTTCTTGGCGTTCTTCCTCTTTTTTGCTGACCTTCTACTTTAGCAAGCATTATGTCCTTCTCAAGGGACTGGTCCATCCAGATAACATGTCCAAAGTTAGTGAGACCAAGTCTTGCCATCCTCACTTCTAAGGCGCATTCTGGCTGTACTTCTTCCAAGACAGATTTGTTTGTTCTTCTGGCAGTCCATGATATACTCAGTATTCTTCACCGACACCGTAATTCAAATGCATCAGTTTTTCCTTATTCATTATCCAGCTTTCACATGCATATGAGGCAGTTGAAAATACCAAGGCTTGGGTCAGGTGCACCTTAATCCTCAAAATGACATCTTTGCTTTTTAACACTTTAAAGAGGTCTTTTGCAGCAGATTTGCCCAATGCAATACTGTACTTCATTTGATTTACTGACTGCTACTTCCAAGGGCATTGATTGTGGATCCAGCTAAAATGAAACCTTGACAACTTCAATCTTTTCTTGTTTATCATGATGTTGCTTATTGGTCCAGTTGTGAGGATTTTTGTTTTCTTTATGTTGAGGTGCAATCCATCAGTAAGTGCTTCACATCTTCTTTGCTTTGAACAAGCAAGGTTCTTATGGTGGGTACTCTTAATGTAAGACCCAAGCACACTCTCATATCTCTTTGGTCTTCAACCTCACACCTCAGTGTGTTAAGATTGTATAGAATTTTTGTTTGAGGTTGTTATGGATTCTTGTTTTTTATTGATTGATTGATTGATTCTAGTAACAACATGGATAAATCTTAGAAATATAATACTGAGTTGAGAACAAGCCAGTCCCAGAAGATGATATACAACTTAACATAATTTATATGAAGCTCAAAACTAAACTACATAGTATTTTGAATAGCTACATTTGTGATGTATCTATAAAAGGAAAATCAAGGGAATTTATATACACAAAATTTAGGGTGGCAGTTAATTCTGGAGGGCAGACATAGGGTTAGATGGAGGAGCACATAAGTAGATACCAAAGTATTGGTTAATATTTTAATTCTTAAATTTGGTGAGAAGCTTGTCTTCAGGACAAAATCCTATGTGTGATTTTTTAGGTCTGACAATAGGCAATTATAAGGCTTTGCCTGGTGGACCTCATGGGCGGAAGCTGCAGTCTCCACACCAGACTTGGTACATACCCAATGCATTGCAGTTTTCTGGAGGAAGTTGCAGTCAAAGACTCAGGACCCTGGAAAAACACCTACTTCTGGAGAGAGCACTATTGAAGACATCCTCCTGGTGGGCCAGATAAGGGCATTGCCCAACAAGGACTGGATGCCCTGTTGACCCACGTGCAATAACATTACTGGACCATTAACACAGATATGGTGCAAGAACCTAGGACCCAAGTTAAATTCCTGGGTGTAATCTGGGAAGGGGCATAACATCTCACATGCCCCATGCAGGGATCTTGATGGTACCTTCTACCAAAAGGACACCTGGAAGCCCTCCAGTGGGCCCCACTGATCCACATTTGCCACTTGAATCACGGGTCTCAGCAGCCTCACGTTTCACCAATTGGAGCTATGGCAGAAGGACACTGCCATGGGCCAATGGCGTCCGTTGGCTTTTTGGACCTATAAGCTCCTAGAGTTGGCTAAAATGTACACATCCTTTGAGAGGCGATTATTGGCCTGTTATTGGGCCTTGAGGGATACTGCTGTGAAGTAGTCTCATGGCCAGAAAACCCAATCATGTTGTGGATCTGAGCAGCGGCCTCAAACTGTATGGGAGTAGCTCAGGAATTCTCTTTAGTGAAATAGCAATAGTATGTACAGAAGCAGGTAAAACCCAACCTGGCTAGAGTCTCACACCTCGGTGAAAAGGTCTCAGTAGTGCCCCTTCACCTCCCAAGCATATCACCCAAGGAACCACTGCCTCCACTGGCCCAATGGGGACCCAGATATACAGACCACCCTGAGCATGTATGGGCCTGGTTCACTGATGGTTCTTCCCAGTTAACTTTTACTGGGATGGAACAGGCCAAACGGAAAGAGACTTGCCCATTACTGAATGTGGTAAAGGACTCTCTGCAAAAAGGGCAGAGCTTCATGTGGCATGAATGGCTATCAGGCCACCCCAGCAAATGAACTCTTGGGCTGAGGCTAAGACACACATATACATATTTACATATACACATAGAGATAAATACACACAGCAAGATCCGCAAGGATTCATAGCACACTGATAAAAGCAGCTACCTCTGGGGAGGGGATTAAATAAAGAGTGACTTGCTTCTGAGTCTATCAAGTTGTGTGTTTTCCAAGGTTTTATACTGAAATGCTTATATGTATTCCTTGTATGTTTTAGAAAAAAATTAACAAAAACCTTAAAAAGCTTACATGTAATTATGTGCTACCACAGTGCTAGGTGCTGAGGAAACAAAACTTTAATAGGGAGAATCTTTCAGCTGTACTCATCTCCTCATGGGCCGATGTGTTCATAGTCCTGGGTGAAAATTATCTGTGAGATTTTTGATGCAGCTTTAGATGATCAGATCGTGCAAAATTCTTGTTGCATGTAGTACACAGGTAGGGTCGCTCTCCACTGTGTTTTCTCTTGTGTCTGTTGAGCCCATCTAAGCGGGAAAATTTCCACGTGCATCCCTTCACGTTGCATATGTAGGGCTTCTCCCCTGGACAAAGAGAGAGACTTGTCATGCTTTAGGGTAAGTTGAGGCAGGGAAGGCGAGAATCAATGGAAAAGAAAAAGGTTTCCTGACTGTTAGAGCTGGACAGAGGGGAGGAACTTGGAGTGGGTGAGTGAAAGAGAAAGGGAAGAAGGAGGGTAGCATGAACTGGAGGGAAAAGAGTAAAACTGGGAAGGAGGGGAAGGAAGAGAAGAAGAGGAGGAAAGTCAGTGGGGAAATGAGCACGAGGGGTGGGTCCTAAGGTTTTTTGGGCCTGAGGGGAGGTAACAGCCTCTGTGGAAGTAGGGTCAAGAACATCCATACAGGGTCAAAACAATCCCTCAACTAATCTCCATCATCCCAGCACAGTCAACACCACACAAAGGCTCCAGCCAGGGTGCCTCTGCCCAAGGAACATGATGCTTCATCCACTCTTTGAAACCTGCCAGTCTTTTCTAGGGTCTTCTGGGATCCCGGACTTAGAGGGAGGTGACAACAATCTCAAATTATCCCAAAGCATTGTAAGGGCTCAAAACTGAAACCATGGAACTCCCCTCACTTCTCACCCCTATTCCTGGGCCTTTACTCACCAGTGTGTATGCATTCATGGATTCGGAGGCGGGAATGCCTTGAATAAGATTTTCCACAGCCCTGATATGTGCAAGTGTAGAGCTTCGAAATGTCAGAATTCTTCTGGGATTGACGTCTCTGGGCCTTGGGGTTCCACTTCTGCTTTTCTAGAGATTGTCCTTGGATCAAATTGAAATCTGAAAAGTATAGGAATCCCCAATATGGCAATGATGAGACTAGATGGAACATCATATAGCCCCTATAGAGGGTGTAGTAACCACTGGAAGTTGTCATATGGTGCCTTTTAAGAGTTGTCATAAGGCCACCATAGATGGTCTTGTAACTACTGTAGGTAATCATATGGCCCACTTTAAGATTTGTCATCTGGTCCTTATAGAAGGTCTGCTCACCATTGGAGGTCGTCATCTGGCCCTCTTTCAGAGTTGTCATCTGGTCCTTATAGAGGGTCTGGTCATCATTGGAGGTCGTCATCTGGCTTCCACAGAGGGTCTGGGAATCACTGGAAGTTGTTATCTGGTCACCACAGAGAGTATGATCATTACTGCCGATTGTCGTCTGGTCCTTATAGAAGGTCTGGTCACCATTGAAGGTTGTCATCTGGCCCCGATAGAGGGTCTGGTAACCACTGGAAGTTGTCATCTGGTCACCATAGAGGGTATGATCACTACTGGAGGTTGTCATCTGGTCCTCATAGAAGGTCTGGTCACCATTGAAGGTTGTCATCTGGCCCCGATAGAGGGTCTGGTAACCACTGGACTTTGTCATCTGGTCACCATAGAGGGTAT